TTCCATCAGAAACTCTGAATGGTCCGCAGCTCTTGATCGGATAGAGAGACAGGCTTTCGATATAGAAGCGGGGTTGTTGAAGTGGCACACTGTGTACTGGTGTAACCAGAGAGCCCACAGTTGCCACTTTCTCGACATAAAACTCCTCGACAAACTCAACAAAGGTATCGATGTCCTCCAAGTTAGACATCGCTCCCAGGCTGAGCCTTAAGACGCCAGTCGGCCGGCCGTCCATGACATCGTTGTCATCTCCACAACGCAAACCCGCTGAAAATTGCTGGAGCAAGTCAGCTCCCGTCCACCCAAGACTTCCCGATGTTCCTCCCGGGTTGCACAGGGAACCGGATCTAATTTGGATGTTTTTCATTGCCGCAAGTCTCTCAACTTCAGACTTTCCGATCCATGACCCTTGGCTGCTGCGGAGGTTGAACGCAATGATAGGGCCTTGCGTGGAGGGCCGGTTGTAGTCTGACAGTGGAGACTTATAAAGCTCGCAGACTCTCTGCCCGTTGAAGTGTCTCAAGGCGCTTAGCCGGTCATACAGGCGCTTTGCCAGAAAACGTGTATGTGACGAGATACTTTGCATCGAGCCGAAAAGACGCTCATGAGTTGCAAACGCCGAGTCGAGAGCAATGATATCGTGGAACGGGAGAGTCCCGTCCTCCAGCCGGTCATGTATCGAAGATTGCTTTTTTGCATGCCATTGCAGCCCGCGTGTCAGGACCATATCCACAGTGCCTCCGCCGAAATACCTGCGGTGCTCAAAGATCTGTCCAGCACTCTTGCGGACAATCAACGCACCAAGGTCGGGAAAACCGAAGATCTTATAAAAACTTAGGACGGTAAAGTCCGGTGCAGCAGATGCATCACTCAGATCCAGAGGCGAGGTTGAGACCAGAGACGCCGCGTCGAGAAGAGTATAAACGTTTCCTCCGGCAGTCTCGCCCTGATTTCTGATCCTCTCACACCATGACAATGGCAGACGGCGGCCATTCATATTCGACTGCGCAGGATACGCAAACAACTTGAGCGACTCAGACCGGGCATCACTCAACCTTGAGATCCAATCTTCGACTTCGTCATCGGAGGTAAAGCATCGACCTCCCTTCTCTGCGAGTTCTCGTACGCCAACAAGGCTCGTATGAGCGTCCACATGGTACCCATACCAGAATCCCTGCCGTGTTGAGTCCCTCATTCCATCCGCAACCAGCTTGATCGCCGCTGTGGCATTGGCCACAAATACAAGATCAAACTCTTCCGGGTCTGCTTTGAAGAAGCGAAGGGCTCGAAGACGAACGTCATCCACGCGCCGCGTGGACAGCTGTGATGAAGCAGACAGGGAATGGGGATTTCCGAACAGATTCGAAGTCAACTCTCGAGAGAAGGACTCAATCAATGATTTGGCATATAAGGTGGTTCCTGCATGGTCCAGGTATGTCGTATCTGTAATATCAATAAGTACGAAAGTCGAATACAGTGTGACCTTCGTCAAAGGGGCGCACCTTTGAGCTGCGGATACTCTCGCTCTCGGATTGTGTCCACATCCTCCGAGTATCCCCTTCCATACTCCAGTACTTCTTCTTGACAGCTCGTGACTCCCACCATATTGAAACCTTCTATGACACCCAGATAGTCCTGCCTCGAAGAGTTCGGCTGCGAATATTCCAATCGAGCTGTTGCGCCGATGCGAGTACAAGGTGGCGACAACCCAACTCCGCACGCGATCAACCAAACACTGGAAGATTCGCACCCGGACAGCAATATATCGCCTCGAGATTGGCTATATCAAACAGGAGGCCGGCACTCGATATATGAAAACCAGACAGAGATGGGTCGAAGTTCAATCAACGTTCGGTATACAGATAAGAGACTCGTCGGAGCTTACCGACGGACGAAAACTTCATTGACCGGTGTCCAGAGAATATGAATCCCACTTCAGTGAGTATGAATAATGGCCTGAGCAACGAGAGCTCTCCAGGACAGACATCTCTCTGCCTTAAATAACTCGGATATGTCCAGTAATTGAACGAGGGCAGGGGATAGATGGTAACTGCATTTGCGTGCTCAGTGACGACGAAAGTCAGCTTCCCCACAATAGGATAAGAATGGGCGAGGGGGCGGAAATCCCCGACGGCGTGGCAATAAGCCATACCGCTACAAATTCATGTGGCGCTCCGTCAGGAAAGCAAGCGAAGCGATAGCGACACGACCCGGCCAACAATATCGACTTATCGGCGCAGTGCAACCCCCCACTTTTCACGCCCGTTAACGTCTCTCTAATCGGCAGCCTTGCGATAGTTCATGCATGTTGTATTCGAACCACGCTGCTTAACAATACATTGTCAGCCAACATCATCGGACGCTTACCAGGGCATGGTTCACACAGCTGAGCTGACGGTTGGCGACTGAACTCCTTTTTCGCCCCTGATACTCGCTTCGAACCACGAATAAGATGTTCGTCCCAACAGCTGACTGCAGGCAGTCCCATGTCCATGATGGTTCCCTGAGCGGTTGCGTCTGACCATTGGGCCTGCGAATAGTATGAGGCTGACCTATGATCGGAAGATAATTGCCTCCCAACCCATGTGGTCGTGAGAAAATTCAAATCACATATCGATACGTGGCAGGGTTCGTCGCCAACAGACGGACCAACAATCAATCTGGTCGTGGACTGGGTCGATGAAACTGAGATACAGGGTCGGGTTCGACCTGCACGCAATCTCCGGTAGGGATCCCCATGGCTGTCAATGCACTCGGATCTTGGTTCTAGAGACGTGATTCATCTTGCATGCAGCCTATCCGGTTGAAAAGAAACAAGCGAGGGCTACGAAGTATGTAGAAACGGGCTGGGCAGAACAAAACAGGCAGGCAGGTAGCATTGGATGGTGGCGACGTAGCAGACACCAGTATCAGGAAAGACATAACGTACAGGGCGCAAACAGCTGAAACGAGAATTCCAACCTGACTCGTGTTTCATATATTTCAAATCGCCGCCAAAGATCAAATAGTGTGCGAGGCATGCATACGTAATGTTCGGGCTTCGCCCGTGCAAGGTGTGCTCAGCTCAAGGGACATCCCGGAATCAAGACAAACTTTCGTTAGCACCACCAATCCTGATACCTCTTTGTCCTTGCGCTGTTCACTTGTTTCTCCCCGCTTTCCTCGGAGCAAAATTGCATATCTTTCACATCATCGCATATCCATAAATCATAAAACATTATCGTCAATCATGCTCAGACAACATAGTGCTGGCGACTCCTCGAGGAGCTGCGATGCTTGTGGCCATGGCCCCGTCGGCTGCTGTGACTCCTCCTCCGCACCGTCGTTGTCTCCTTGACGACTACTTCCCTGTCCCTTCTGTAGATAAAGAGCGCCAGGATAGCCGTCCAGAAGAAGAACAGCGTCTCCATAATCCCCAGCGCAAAGCAAGTCTTCAGCATCGCGCAGGTCTTGTTGATCTCCAGGTACAGATGGTTCTGGTTTTCGTAGCCAACGTACCCGAAGGGGCCAAGCGACACCCACACAGAGCCGCCATTCCAATGAGAGCAATCGGCGCCCGCGATGAAGCGGAGCTCGTAGACTCCTGCGATGAAAGCGCCGACGAAGAGCAGGTCGACGAAGGCAACGAAGAATGCGGAGCGCTTGGTGGTCGAATGGCGGATGAGCGTGTCAAAGGCCCAGAAGACGGCGATCACACTGACGATGAAGAGCACCAGGATGTAGGGCGGGGTGATCTGGTTTGCTTTGAGATAGCCGTCCACGAAGTAGGCCTGTTCGCATGTTAGGCTCCCGTAAATTCATATGCCAAAAAAGGTATATCTGCTTACCATCATGCCAATGATCGGAATCAGGAATACAATCTCCACCAAGCGGTTGAAGATGAAGAACAGACTTCCAATCATCTTGTCCGCTTGCTTTCTCCGGCTGCTGCTTCGATGGATAAAATCAAATGCCCACTTGAGGTATGTGAGGAGATCAAATGTCCAAATGTGGAGACAATGCGCTTGCGATTTTGATCAAAGCCGACAGTGTCGTTACGAAGTCATCAGCGATAGTATGATTAGAGAAGAAACAGGGTATGTGCGCAAGTTCGAGAGACTCGTGTTATCCACAACTCCTTGCGTTAGGCTGTGTACACTACACCTCTGCTGGAAATATGTTGAGCAAACACAAAGCACGAGGGAACGCTCAAACGTGGATTCAGGGGATTATGCATGCAAGAATGAGGTCAGATCATGACAACACATAAGTTCAAAAGGGGGAAAAGAAAGACAAGAAAGAAAATGCCTCTTCCTGAAAATATTCTCCGAGCTGATCATGATGGAGGGGAGGCTGGGCGACTCAGATTGTTGGATTGCGGGGTGGCTGGGCAACCAGCATCATGGAACATTATCGACACATACACGTGGGGGAGATGCGGTGCCTGGTTGCTACTTGCTCCAGAGCTGAACTGTTATTTTCCAATGAACGATTAGACATTGACATGTCCTTCGACCATTTGCAGGATATCGATAGTAGTGTGACAGCATGTATGTAAGCGATCCACTGTTGGCTTGAGCGGCCTATCTCCCACGCGGTTCTAGCCATGGTTGATCTTTAGCTTATTTGCAGCAGGTACCTTTCAACTGAGAGCTAAAAGCAGTCAGGTACCAGCATTTAACGATGCTGTCTATACTTCGTATGCAGTAAATCAATAGATCGGATTTAGCTGACTGACTAATGATATATGCTTATGCTCCTGGTATGAACGACAACCATTCGGCTGTTTTTCTGAATAGCAATCGTCGCAAAATCTATCAGACGCCAAAATGACAAGCAGATTAACCAAAATACAGCAGGACATATGCATAGAAATATGACAGTTTTCTATACTCGAACAAAGATTCATCAATCATGGCACGGGTATACTTCAGGACTTGGCAGTTTGTGAGCAGACGCGCGATATCCGCACACTCCAAAACCAGTCTCACTTATCCCGAAACTGCAGATCCGACCGATTATTACTGTGAGTCTCTGCCTGCACGAGTGGCTACTGGATCCGGCCGTACATGAGGAGCAGTGACGCCTGGTAGCACGGTTTGTGTCTGAGAATGGTATGAAGTGTCAGCTTCGTATCTTGGAGGCCCGCCGATTCTCGGATTCTGTGTACGAGCATAGCCGTGCTGCATCTCGTATCCATCTGCAACATCTTCACTGGAAGATGACCATTCCCCATCATTGTCGTGGGATCGGCGGTTGCGCAAGTCCGAGGTGTATGGGTTAGCTGAACCCATGTAAGTCGGAGAAATTCGCGCCGGACCGATCTCAGGAGCACCAGATGCGTCTATCCTGTCTTCCTCCGGGTTCCGAAGAGCTGATGTGCTCGCATAGTGGTCAGACAGAGGCGAGGCCATACTGGGTGCCACAGGGTCTGTACCCCAGCTTCGAATCGGATACGCGCGGCCTTTCTTCCACGGCTCGGAAATCGGTGGGAAATACTGGCGGTAGGAGATGTAGGCGCAGACAATGCCCAGCAATGATCCACTGATCACGTCAAAAGGATGATGCCTCGCATCCATGATCCGTGAAACAGCAACAAGTGTCGCCGCAAGACAAGGAATTATGACGATGATGGCCTTCCAAACTTCGCCTCTGTTGTCCATAAAGTGCAGTTTTCCGCACAGCCAAAGAGTCAGGTAGAACAAACCGGCAAAAGATGCTATATTCCGAGATTAGTACAATGACAAAGGGGCGCCAAAACTCTGAGACAAAAAGCTTACAGCTACTATGACCTATACTATCAATCAGCATAGCTCAAGCAAAAATATCAGAAGGCCGGGGTAAAACTTACCTGAAGGCCAAGAACGAAATCCATCCTTGATAATTGCAGGGTCTCCTGTACATATAGTCGAATTGGACAATCCAGGAATCAGATCTTCGCTTCCTGGCCTCGGCTTGCACCGATCGATCAAATCAGGCCTGGGCTTCCCACATGCGGTCTTCAGCACCTGGGTGATGAGAAACGCGAGGCCCTGCGATAGCAAAAGACCCAGGAAGCCACAATTGAACTCCCACAGGCGATCCTTCCACCGGTATGGCCCGGTAATCTTCCTCTTCCCGGATGCCGGGTTGTACGGCTTGTGATGTGAGAACAGACCGTCAATGAACAGCGTATACACTGCAATTATGACGAGGGGGGTAACGCAGGAGACCAGCAGGGCTGCCTGGATCGAAATGCGCTCGTGGACGGCATAAGGGTACTGAATGGATATGTTTCGCAGAGAGAAATGCTGGTGATAGGGCTCGATGGAATCGAAAATGTAGAAGCCAGCAATGCAACCGCTATAGTGAGATTATCGGTAAATGAATTTAACGGTCTCCGAGCGCAAGGGAAGGAAATACGAACATGAGGATCAGATAGTCGGCAATGTATCTGTATACAAAACAGAAGCTATTAGCAATGCAATTTCAGGCAGTCAATCTTGACGATTTCATCACTCACGAAATTATAACACGAGGCCGTAACCGCCGCTTCGAGAACGGTAGTTTAGAGGGAAGACGATCCATTTTCTTGACGCTAAAGCTCTCAAGCCACAAACATAAACCGTCTCTCGTGAAACGAAGATTCTAAAGGAAAGCTGAACATGAAAATCAGCTTTCACTGCACAATAGGACAAGCAGACGCATTATATTTCCCAAATTCGGGCACAAACTGGGCTGGTACAGATAGCCTCTTGGCTATTTCTTGGAGAGCACAGAAAACAAATCCTCTTGTTCCTTTGGGAAATGACTGATCCACCACTTACTGTACAAATCAAGAGAGTATTCCGCGATCCCGCGCGGTGTAAATCAGGATCCTAATCTTCAGAGTATCACCAATTGAGCGGTTTGTGAGATATCGTCATGGCAGAAACTGAGCCATGCGATCATATTAATAGTCTGCCGATTACAAAGCTGCCTAAAATAATTCAAACATGGAGAACGAATTCCAGACCTATGCCAATAACGGGAAATAAACTGCTGCCACCTCGACGGCTAAGACTTGAAGTGTGTCCCGTGGCGTGGATCGTAGCCATTCAGGCTTGCCCTGACACAATCAGAATCCCGCTGCTCAATGAGAAGCGCTGAGGCTGTCACTGAGGATCCACAACTAGACCCTGGCCTGGAGTAGGTCGAACAACTGTGAATTAGTTAATTAATTGAGCACTTACTTTGCTTGTCTAGGTCACAAGGGGCTCAAAGTCTAAATTCTAAGCCACCAGTGCACCTTCTGAGGGCACGTGTACAACCCGTGACTTCCTGATGTTGATTTGCCCTTTTGTGTTGTCCTATAATATATAGAAATTAATTCAAGATCTAGCATCACTTGAATAATAATTAAAGGGAGACAATCAAGCAATGTCTGGATGTTTCGTAAGTCAAATGCTAAGTCCACTGTCTCTGTGGCGCTAAACTATTCTGCACGGCAGGATCGTCTAGTAAGTAACTTCAATTGGCAACCTGAGGCACACGACAGCGGCTGTTCTAGGCAACATTATTTTTGTCACTATGAGTGCATATCTATCTGAACGAAAGATTATCCCTCCTGGAAATGTAGCTTTGTAGCTTGCAGTTCTATTTTGATAGTGTACACAGTATGGAGGAAAATTCAATTATTACTACTTGGAAAGCTAACCGGAGCTGATATCTGTTTGGAATGCTTGACTATATATATCCTTCTTGTGGCTATTGCTAGAGTCCTGCGCATTTTTCCGTAAGGGACAATAATCGAATTTTAGAAGAAACTTAGTTGTATTATACAATGCAAGCTATCTTCCTATGTACCTAATGAATGACTGTTCATAATTAACTCACTAGACCCATTCGAAAGATTCACTTTGCTGCCTGCCATCCCGACCATACCCGACATTGAATCAATTTGGGTTCGAAAGATAATTTGTCGTTTCATCAATAAAAGCCATAAGTTCCAAAGATATTACCATAGGTCCATCATTCATGGTCTCATAATGCCGGGTAGTCCTTTGTCAAGCCGATTGACTTAGCAGACAGTGATGTACAGACCAAGACTGGATGTTGATTAGCCACGATTCAGATGTTTGAGACGCGCAGAGTAAACTTACGGAGAGGGGTTGTAGTCCTCGAAGAAGTTGAGGTTGGTGCTACCAGCGTTCTTCATCTCGAAGCCGACTGCCTGTCCAGCGGGGCACTGGAAGGTAGAAATCAGGTAGGAGTTGCCAGGGGAGACCGTGGTAACGCCGTAGTCTTGCTTGACCTTGGGAGCATTGCTGAAGGAAGTCTGCGAAGTAGCGGCAGACTCCAGCATGGCGAAATCGATCTTGCCGTCGCCGCTGAAGGAGTACGAAGAGGTCTCGAGGTCCTCCTTCTTGGGGAACAAGAAGACGAGACTGCAGGTCTTGCCGGCGTCCGAGGAAGGAATGTCAAAGTTGAAGATGCTCGAGACGGTGGAAGAGACTGTGCCGTTGAACGAGGTGCCAGGAGCCTTGTTGGGAGAAGAGGAGTCGACGGGTATGATCAGGTGGGGGAATTCATACTGTCCGGAGAGATCGGTCGGGCAGCTGGGGATGGAAGACTGGATGGCAGAGGCAGAATGAGAAGGCTGAGATCCAGAGCCAGCGGGAGTAGAGGGTTGAGAACCGGAGCCAGCTGGGGTGGTTGACTCAGGGCAAGAGGTAGTGGTCATGGTTGTCTTCACAGTGGTGGTAGATCCCGGAGCGCTCGACTCGGGAGTAGGAGAAGCGGCAGGGGTGCTCTTTTGCACTGCGGAACTTGTTGGAGTTACAGAAATGACCGAGCTGTAGACTGCGGAAGAACTGGCACCGGCACCGGCACCAGTGTTGGCACAGTTGTCGGCATGCAACTGAATGTTCTTGCAGCCAGTCACGTCATTGGGATTGGGAGAGGTGTAGACGTTCAGTCCTCCATTCTGACCAGTCTCACAGGCGACAAAGTCTGTCTTTCCGTTGTAAGTGAGCAGGCCCTGGGCGTTGACGGAGAAACCGGTAGTGGGCTGGGCTCCGGCATCACACTGGAGCTGAGTGGTAGGAGCTATCGATATTTGTTAGCGCGTTGCCTATCTGTCAAAAGTGAATCAGATACTCACGGGTCAAGATGCATCCACGTCCGTGACCATCGATGATACCGCCATCGGAGTTGATGCAGTACTCGCCCTCAGGAAGGTTGCCGTAGACACGGTTCTGTCCATCATCAAGCTGGCCAATGGGGCCAGAGGCACCGCCAGAAGCGGTCAGATGGAAGCAGCAGGTATTGTCTCTGGTGACGAGAGCATTGGCTCCGACAGCGAGAGCCGCGAGAGTGGCAAAGTTCTTCATTATGTGAGAGCGAACGAAGGAGGCGAGGCAGCACAATGAATAAAGCGAATGGACAAACGGGTTGACTGGTCTGAATTGATACGACTAAGACCGACGTTGTTTATCTTTTGTCTGTTTGAGGACTACAACAAACACTGACGAGGACAAAAAGTACTCTTTACTTATAAACCATGGTGGGTACCCCTTCATATCAGCGTCATGGATGTCACTGGGACCCAGATCAAGGTAGGTCAGCAACAGCTCATACTTCCGCATGGAAGTAAAAAATAGAAACGAAGTGCTGGCCAGTAGCAATGCATTATCATGTAATGCTGGTGGGCCAAGGGCGCCCAGTCTGGCATCATAAACACGCCAGAGCGAGTAAACAACCTCGATATTGCACGGACCTACCGGCGAGCTTGGAAGTAATCGGATTTCGACGGCATTCGATATGGAGGACGTCATGATGGACAAGACATTGTGGGGAGATGATGAATAGCATTGAGATAACATGGCCCACCTACGATCGTAGTGCAGGACGGGCAACAACGGCAGCCATATCTAGTAACATTGTCGCAAAGCATAAGCCTGCGGGTGGATCAGGACCCATCTGAAAGGTTCGTGGATTGGCCGAAGAGAGCCTGCCCTGTGTCAGCAACCCTTCAATGTTGCCTGATACATGGTTTCTCTCAGTCTCAGGGCATGGGACTGCAACTGAGGTGGCGATATCAGATTCGATCCACGGAACCGGCACAGTCGGAAATTGGTTTGGCCCAAAGACATCGAACATTGCTGGAAGAGGTTTGGAGGACGAAAGCATTGAGCTCCCATGGTTCTTTGCTTCTATTCATAGTCTCCTATCAGCCGGGATGGCTGTTCAGTGATGCGTTGGAACGGAGTTGAGCACTACTGCGTTTTCCACACCAATAGTGATGTATTCCCAGGACAAGCCTATACATCTGGAAAAGAGCAGTGGAGTAGAGTAAAGAGTGGGGATGTCTTAAGGTGCCTTGCATACAGTAAACGTCATGAGAGATTGTCGGGGTTGACTTAAGCTTCCATAACATGGGCGCAAAATGGGGCAGCCTGGGTTGCCTTATCCTGTTGCTGCTTAGTCGCTTTCGCAATGGGGCATGGCTTGCGCCTCACGGACCAGGTTCTTATCATCTACGTTCCTGGGCGTGGTCACCAGTACTATGGTAGCCTGGAGGGTGGATTTTGAACCAAGGAAATGGACTGGAGAAGTCGGAAATTATACAAGTCTAGAAAGGTACACAGCAGCGAGAACAAGTAAGCAACGATCAAGTGGGACGAGATGGAGCTTCCCTGACGAGGATACAGTGGGTAGGTGACGACACCACTGGCAGCCAAGAACGCTGATTGTCTTTACACAACTTTTCCACTGTGGGTTTATCAATTTAATAAATATGCATCATAGGGTTTATGAATAAAGTAATATTGGTTTGGGTAATGCAATGGATGTAAGACACTTCGTCTTTCACCATGCCGATCTATATGTTAGCCACGTCATTGGACCAAGTTCTTATTTCAGTAATTGTTGCTCTGCAATTCGGTTCCTTTAAAGCCAGCCAGCGAAAGTCCAGTAACCGAGGTAACTGCAACAAGATATCATCAGCCAGGCACCAACGTACACATTACTCCTGGTACGAGGATATCCGCAGTGAGGCCGGATTATCCAGGCTGTCAGCTGAAGGCACATATACCTATTGTTCCGATAATGCAGACTGCCTCAGATTGGTCGATCAGTGTTAGTTGATCATGGAAATGCTACCTAGGTGTAATAATCTGTCCATTTTCGCATGTGCTTGACACTTAGATAGAGACAACCATCCTGTTGTGGCTACCAATACTACCACTCATCTGATGTATGATGTTTCCTCTTCACCGTCGCTAAGCGGACTACAGGCTACCTGAGTCGTGCAGCTCCTGTTCGAAGGGATTCTACCTTTATGATCTGACACCTGACACAACTTTGACATAGTACTGAGCATGGGAAGCCTCAATCGCTTGACGGAAGGCCAGGCCTGGATCTAGAAACTCCATCTCAAAGCGCATGGGCCCACCAACAAAGCGTCAATGCAAGGGTCATTCTCCAGCCGGAGCAAACAAGATGGCCCTGATCTTCCCGCAAAGCCCCGTTAGTGTGAAATATAGACGGACTGATGTAGTTGAGTAATGTCGATCCCTCGGATCGATGTAAGCCTTGCATCACTTACA